TTAGGGTTTGTGTTCGGGATGTAGGGTTTAGGGCCTTAGGGTTTAGGGTTCAGGGCTGTTGTCAGGGTTGCCAGGTCACTCGGGGAGCATATCCCGGTCGCGGCTCGCGGCAGACGTTGCAAAGGCCACGGTAACCCCAGTTCACGTTGGAGCACTTGCCGCATTGCCACGCTCCGCGATCCCCTGCCACCGGTCTGGAGCCGCCGCCGTCGCCGGCCTCATCAAATGCTACTGCTACAGTAACGCACTACAACACCCCATGCTGTACTCTACTACAGGGCAATCCTGTACTGTACTGTACAGTATACACAGTACAGTACATGCTGGCGGGCCACATGCCGAGGGAACTCTGCCTCGACCGATGGCTCCATGGGTGCAGCCTAGGCAGAGCACTGACTGTTTACACCACAGAACTCCACAATACTGTACTGTACAGTATATACTACAGTACTGTACAGTATATGCTGGCGGGCCACACGCTGAGGGATCTCTGGCTGCTCTAGCTCAACCTCCTCCTCCTCGTCGGCGGCTGCGACCTAGGCACAGCACTGATTACTGTATTTACACCACAGAACTCAATACTGTGATGTACAGTATATACAGTACAGTATAGGCTGGCGGGCCACTGGCTCATAGAGCTCCGGCTCGGCCTGCTCCTCCTCGGCGGCTGCAACCTAGGCACAGCACTGATTACTGTATTTACACCACAGAACTCAATACTGTGATGTACAGTATATTCAGTACAGTATATGCTGGCGGGCCACTGGCTCATAGAGCTCCGGCTCGGCCTGCTCCTCCTCCTCCTCGTCGGCAGCTGCAACCTAGGCACAGCACTGATTACTGTATTTACACCACAGAACTCAATACTGTGATGTACAGTATATACAGTACAGTATATGCTGGCGGGCCACTGGCTCATAGAGCTCCGGCTCGGCCTGCTCCTCCTCGGCGGCTGCAGCCTGGGCACATCACTGATTGTTTACACCACAGAACTCAATACTGCACTGTACTGTACAGTATATACAGTACTGTACAGTATATGCTGGCGGGTTACAGGTTCATGGAGCTCCGGCTCGATCTGCTCAGGGTCGACGGTTGCAGCCTGGGCACATCACTGATTGTTTACACCACAGAACTCAATATTGTACTGTACTGTACAGTATATACAGTACAGTATATGCTGGCGGGTCACAGGTTCATGGAGCTCGACCTGCTCAGCCTCGGCGGTTGTAACCTGGGCACAGCACTGATTGTTTACACCACCGAACTCTACCTTCACCCAGAAACATATGCTAACTGCAGTCTTCCCCGCCATTTCGGCATTCAAGATGTGCAATAATTGCTGTACAGTCACCTGACCCTCTTCTTCTTCCGGCCACTCCTGCTCCGGCCACTCTTGATCCGCAGCTTGCTCCTGCCAGTACTGTACAGTACTGTGCTGTACGCTTTGCACATGTCATTCATTAGGCCCGTCCTCGCCATCCCCCTGCAGCGTTGTCGAGTCCTCCGGCATGAACAGTACAGTACAGCACCATACGCCACCACATCCCCCAACAATACAGTACAGTATAGTACTGTACTGTAAACACCGTCGCGTGCCTGGAAGACTTGCCGGCAGTGCTCCCGGAGAAGAGGTGCGACTTCAAAGGTATTCAGACGTTTGGGAGCCTTACTGCAAGGTCCAGTACAGTACTGCACTGTACAATACTACCACTGGCCGCATGAACCATGCACACAATTTCAATGGGCTGCACTGTACTGTATTGTACAGTACTGTACTGTAATGCACTGTCCAATACAGTACTGTACAGTGCGTACGAGAAACACACAAGCTGTCCAAGGCACACTGTTGAATCCGCCCCTCTGAATGGATGGCAGCCACAAGTCCACATCATATTGCTCACTCCTGAAATTCTCACAGGAATTGCCGCGATGCAAAGTACAGTACAGCACACAGTACACAGCACAGAACGTCCTTACAGGACAGTACAGTATATACTACTGTAGTGCTGCTGCGGAGCAGGATCAGGGCCAAAGCCAGGGCGAGGAAAGCGGAACGGTGGCGACCGGCAGTGCCTAGGAATCAGCCCACGCGATCTTGCTGCACTGTACAACAGTGCACAGCAGCCTCTTTTTGCGATCAAGTCACACATCAAGATGTAGACGAGATCTACACCAAGGTCCAGCTGGTGGCGCACGGCCTCACGCACTACCGTGCTGTACAGTACATACAGTGTACTGTAACACTGCTGCAGGACAACAAGCTGTCGTGGTCTGATGCACAGTACAGTAGAGTACAGCACAGTACTCTGGATCCAGAAATGCCGACCAAGCTGCAACCAGCTGGTGGCGCAGCAGCTCCTTGCCCTTTCTGCTGTTCAGCAACTGGACCTGGCAGTCGATGTCCTCAGGTCGCATGGGGTCATATTCTGCTGTGAGGTTTACAAGACTGTACTGTACTGTACTGTACTGTATATCGCACAGCCCCTACGAAGCATGTACTGTAATCAGTAGTAGTGAAAGGCAAAGCGCGCCCACGTCTCCGCCCCCTGGCTGATGTGGATCGCGCCACAGCATTCTGACCTAAGCACAGCACTGACTCGCAAACCTTGCCCATTCCGACAAAGATGCTTTGCACCCAGATATATGCTAACTGCGGTCCTTCCTACCCTTTCAAGACTTGCAATACTGTATAGCTAAATCCCACAAAGACGATACTTTACTGTACATTACTGTACGTGCTGCAACTGCAAGCGAGCTGCATCTGCCAGAACGAGGCAACGCCGCGGGAACCAGGATTTCAGATATCCAAGGGTTCGGTCCCCTTGGATGCGGCTGCCGCCGCGGCCGACCTGATACATCCTGTCCGCTCCGATGGCCACCAGCGTCAACTTCATGGCTGACGCAAGAAAGAGCTCCTGGATCAATCCGTCAATCCTTACTGTACTATGTCTGGACCTGGTAAGCTTCCCCGTGTTGAGTCAAATTAAGCCGCAGGCTCCACTCCTGGTGTGTACAGTAGGGATTCCTTAATATAAACCCTATTATGGGGAACCCTACCGTAATCCCTACTGCTGTGAAGGGGCCTAAGGCTACAATGATTGCAAGAGATCTGAGCATCCCAGCAGTATTACATACAGTACAGTGCTGCACATGCCCTGCAGTACAGTACGGTACTGTATAAAAGTATCTGAGCATGGCATGCCCATGTGTCACGAACGGCCCTCCTGCCCTTAAGCATGAATGGCACCAGGTCACAACACCAGCAGCTCGCAGTTCCGGACGCAACCCATCTACAGTACTGTGCTGCACAGGAATGCACTGTATTGTACTGTACTGTACAGCAATTCGCACTGCTCCCATTCTATCAGAACACATGTCTGGTCAGCGCCCCTCTCGGTGCCGGGCTGGCTACGCAGTCGGCGCAGGGCAGCACCACTCGGTGTCCTTAATATGCAAGTACAGCACTGTACTTACTGTACAGTAAATTGATAGAGCGCAGCGACCGCAACCCCGACGTCAGTGCGCAACACAGCACTCAACTTCAATACGTCCCGCAGAACCACACGATAACTTGGGCTCCTGGCCAGTGGAACGGCTACCGGGACGGGCCTGGGCACAGACAATACACTACTGTTCTTGCCAGGAATTTGGGCATTGCTTTGGGGGGCATTCGGAGGAGTTTGGGGGAGTCATTCACAATCCAAGCAACACTCGCAGTTCGCAGGTGCTGGCACTCATGAAGTGACATGCCACTGAACGATTGAAGTTGCTTGCTGATACCATTCTATATTGTGCAGTACGGTACATAGAAGGCAGTCACCTGCCTCCTTTCCAGCAGCTCGATGTTGCCGGGGTCCTGGAACAGGAGGCTTGCTGTTTGAATCACAACTACTGTACTGTATACTACTGCACAGCATCAGACTGCACTGCAAAGGCTTCACCGGCATGTCTCCTTGCCCACAGCATTCGAAGGCGCCGAAGTCGTAGTCGTAGTTTGTATAGTACAGCACTGACGACTGAAATGGGCAGGGGGTAAGGGGAGGGCATAGGAGGGGCAAAGGAAAGGGGAGAAGGTGCAACACAGTACAGTACTCTCCTACCCCCCAAAAAAAAGCTCACATTCCTGGCATGGACCATATGCTAACTGCGGTTCGGATATGCCCATACTGTACAGTACAGCACTGTACAGTACTGTACAGTACAGTTGCACAACACAAACAGAGGCGCAAGTTCCATCAACTCTTCTGAAGTTGTCCCCCGCTCATGCAAAACCTCCCAGAATTACCAGAACTTCCTCCGACTCACGCCCTCCCACCACCAAAAAAAGCTCACATTCCTGGCATGGACCATATGCTAACTGCGGTTCGGATATGCCCATACTGTACAGTACAGCACTGTACAGTACAGTACAGTTGCACAACACGAACAGAGGCGCAAGTTCCATCAACTCTTCTGAAGTTGTCCCCCGCTCATGCAGAACCTCCCAGAATTACCAGAACTTCCTCCGACTCACGCCCTCCCACCACCAAAAAAAGCTCACATTCCTGGCATGGACCATATGCTAACTGCGGTGCGGGATATGCTAACTGCGGTTGTTGGGACCCGGGAAAACTCATATGCTAACTGCGTTGTTTTTGGCCCGGGATGAAATTAGACAAATGACCCGGGATCCCGGGTCATTTGTCTAATTGTCTAATTGTCCCCGGGTCCATATGCTAACTGGTGTTCCGGGAGTGTATGACGCATGCTGCTGAAGCGGCGCAAGATGCAAGCATCAGCGCCTGCCCCACAACATCGATGAGATTGCGGCTTGGCCCCCGCTGCAATCCCACCACCTACACAATTCTCAGGAGTGTGGGAACCACGCGCCTTCCAAGGCCGGACGCACTACCCGTCGCACGAGGAGGCTGAGTATACGGCACCTTTGGTTTTCGCCATTGCTGTCTCTGTGTCTTGGTGGGCGGTGCGCACGGGACGCGCAAAGCTACCTGTCCAGGATGCCGACACCCAACTGCGTCGGTCGCCGCGAGACTTGGGTGGGACATCGATCCACGATGGGGCATAGGTTCCCCTGGTCCTTTCGTTTCGAGGCAGCCAGGACACCTAGCCCGGTGACGGTTTCTCAGGTGATCCGACAAGACGGGAGTTTGCCGGCAAAGCACATATATGTTGGTCAAGGCCATCATTGTCACCGCCTGCCGAAGCTCAACATGTCAGGGAGAACCTGTATCCTCGCTTGGGCGAGCTAGTGGGAAAGACGCTGGTTGTGGATGCTGCCACCAACTACCCGTCGGAAGGTGATGTGTTGGCTGGGCTCATCTTTGAGTTCGATGGCAGGGCTGAAGCGGTGCCAGCAGGAAAGCGCCAGGTGCTGCTGAGTGACAGCAGTCTGAACCGACCTCAGGCGCGCTTCACCTTCACGAAGGCCCTATAGGCTTGGCAGTGGCCCCCTTGGGCATCAGCGGTGTTTTCAGGCTACATGTGACAGGAGTCCGTTGCGGTCGCAGTGCGCAAGCTGTTTCCGGCCATCTGGTTGGAAGGATGTGCCTTTCCCTTCGTTAAAGGATCTTGTGAATGCCAAGGTGTTTTCCTAGGTTTGGAACACGACCTCTCCACAGCCCTCACCGAGGGCTTTGTGACCTTTTGGGTGAGGGAGAAGCTTTTCACCAAATTGAATGGCATGATCCAGCATGCCTTGAACACTCAGGCGCTTCGTGCAGGACAAGCTTCCAAGATGTTTGGATTGCTCAATTTCTTGGGGCAGGGCATATACGGCCGCGTGGGCCGTGGAGGTCTTGCAGCCCTCGCCGACCGCCAGCAATCCTCAGATTCTCACCTCACTCAGGAACTGCGTGACTGCTTTCAGGTGGTGAAGGCGATCGTTGCTATGAAACCGTGCCGCCAATTCTGGGTCGTGGCTCCGCCAGAAGCGCCACGACAGGGCACTGGCGGGTTCCTTTTGGTCTGGCAGCGCGGTCGAGCGCAATGCTGGGAGGGATTCGTGGCCGCACAGCCAGCGAGGCTGTACGGCTTGTGGTCCTCGGGCGAGAAGAAAATAGCCCAGATGGAACTCAGTATGGTACTGTTTGCCCTGGTCGCGCGGCCGAATGATTTTCGAAACCGCAGGGGGGTCTGGTACCTCGACAACACCTCGGCCCTCATGTCGTTGATCCGCGGTCGCTCGGATAGTGCTAACTTGTCTCGACTTTCCAAGCTGATCCACCTTTGTCTGTACGCGTACCAGACATGGGTTTACTGGGAGTGGGAGTGGGTCCCTTCAAAGCTCAATTGTGTTTAGGAATAGGAGTCAATCAAGGCTCATGGTCATGCATGCGTATTGCTGGGGCTGTGATTTGGGACTACAGTGCGGGCTTTCTTGGGAGTTAGTATTCGGCCCCGTATTGCGCTTCGGGTCTCCAGACAGAAATCAGGTTCATCGTTGGAGAAATCATGTTTCGGAGTATTTGCGTGAAGGGTCGCAAGGAATTGAGAATGAAGGCGGCTGCCGATATACATATGCTCGCGCTTCGGAACTTCAAAACCCAACGTTAATAACGCTAAGCCTGGACCACACAGCAGAAGCCTAAAGACAGGAGGATTGGTGACGGTATCATGTGACCTCACGGTAGTTGTCCGGGGGGGTTGCATATATATGTATATAGTATATATGTATATGTATAATATGCGCATAAAAAACGTAGCATGTATACATGCTTGCATGCATGTACCTAGGCCTTCATGGATGGATGGATGGATGGATAGAGGTATGTAGGTAGGTAGGTCGGTCGGCCCGTAGATGGCATGTAGGATGCATGCATGACGGCATGCATCCGAATACATATGCAACACATGCGCACGTATGCACTTAAATATACATATGTACATACATACACACTATATATATATATATATATATATGCATGTATGCATGTATGCATGTATGTGTCTAAACACATACAGATTGTGTGCACGCCGGCATTGTGGTCGTCATGTCCTACAGTCCAAAGCCCGTAACCATCCGTAACCCGTAGACTGTTCCCGACATTGTACTTGTCGTTGCTTGTTTTTGGGCATGTGTAGGCATCACTGTACTAAGCACTCGCCAGGGATCAAGTTGAACAGGTTAGGTCAAGTGTACGTAGATAAATTGATGCGCACGTGTTGAAAGATTTGGTTAGATTATATAAGTGGGGTAAACAGCTTGATACAGAGTGTAAAAGGAAAGCTGATGAATGTTTGTTCCGTGATACTTTACAAGATTTTGGCTGAAACTTTCAAAGAGGTTCGGAATATCGTTGCATTTTAACTTGTTTGTCTTTGCATGTTGGAGTTTCGGTAGTTTGTGCTGTTTTACATGTTTTTGTTTCGGCCGTGCCTTCATTCTACAGCATGCGAGGTCGCGCCGGCAACTAATGACATCTAATGACCGTATAAGCACCATTCATGAGGATTGGGCCCGAGACGAAGTCGGCTGAGTTAGTCATCCTCGAGTAGATGCCATGTATGTTCGGAGACGAGACACACGTGTACTCCCACCCTGGCGTGAGCGCTCCCAATGGGGTCGTTGGTCAGACCAGACTTTCTGGAGTCCAAACACTCGCTATCAAACTCGCAATCAGTATCCTTACAATGTCTTTGGCAGTGAGTGGGATGGCAATCCAAATCGTCAGGGACACAACCGGTACATCACCTGTCACCGTTGCCAGCAGTGGTTCTGGATCAATCGTTTACAACGACAGAGTGCATGCAGCAAATGTGGAACACCTTGGTCCATGGAGACTGAGCACTATTACCACGATGTGTACGGTTGTTGGCCACCCCGTAGTACAGCCAAACCCGCACAGCCCAGGTTCACGCACAGCCCAGGTTCACGCACCAGGCTCATGACAACAACGACTCCAACTACATGGACCCCCAAGAAGCAGAACGCATATTCGCGACACTCTCCGAAACCTCCAGCAGAGAGACAACCCGTCCAACGACATGGACGTCGAGGGCACCCCCCTGTTTGTGGACGAAGTTAGCACTGCCTTACAAAACAATCCGCAAGCTTTGCGTACATGGACAGACCTTACCATGCAGTTCTGCGTACCTATGCCCCGGGCAGTGAAGACCTTTGCCAGGAGCTCCAACAAGGAATGGGTCGCATGGCAGCACAGCGCAACCCAGCCAAGACTGTGCAGCTTTGTCTTGAGGAAGCTCAGGCCACCGTCAGACGACTGGGAAACCGCCGACATGTTATGGAGCAAAACCTGGTCAATGCAAAAGAAAAAGTTTCGGAACTCGAGGACAAACTACGGGGATTGGACACCGAACTCGAGCAAGCCGCAGACACCTTACGAGAAGCAACCACCGCTTATGGCACACATGCCATCAAAAGCGAGCTTTTGGAGCCTCCAACCCCCCGATTCCGGGGATCACCGCGAGTGATGCCGAAATACTCGGGGATGTGCCGAAGCTCCGAGCTCTGCTTGAAGAAGTCGGAGGTACATTATCAGAGCAACACCGCACTCGTTTCGCTGCATTGCTGGACGATGCCGATTTCCGCACCAACTGGGGGAAACGACGAAGACAATGCCAACCTGATGAAGCCCACCGCGAAGGCAGTGCACAGGATTGGGAACAAGCAGGGGCTGAGGACCCAACGCATGATCTTTAGCTCAAATCACTGCTGCACCAGCGCCAACAACTTTAAGGCTGCGGCTGCAGCTCCACCTTTTTCCAGCACTTGGGACCCAGACCGTGTTGCGTCACAACGCGTCTCGCAGTCGGCGGGTAATTTAGAGCCTCTGCAAACTCTGCAGCAGGACCAGACCCCACCGACCAGACAAAATTTTCCATGTTCTACGCAAACATCACATCATGATCACCACATGCACAGGAATATTTTCAGGACTCGCGGTTCCAAACCATCTTTTTAACGGAGCATAGACAAACCCAGACTGAATCCCTGGAGCAACTGTTGTCAAACGCCGGTTTTCATGTAGCTTGTCATGCGGCTGTTCACAACAATGGCGGCCCTAGCTGTGGAATCGCACTAGCCTCCAAGAAATACACGTACCTTGGCGGCCGCACCCAACCAGTAGGCAGTTCGAGATGGCTTAGCGAGACCATTAAATTCAGGGGGTTTGATTTGACGTTGCTGGTTGCCTACTTCCCTTGTGATGGCGTGCATGCGCCAGAGCACAAGGCGCTGCAAATCGAAATCGGCTCGTACATCATGTCTCTTTCAGGGCCGTGGGTTCTTTTAGCGGACTTCAATTGCGACCCTAGCGAGTTTGTAGCCAGGGGCTGGCCCCGCATTGTAGGAGGACAAGTAGTGCGCACTAACGAACCCACGATCGCCACGGGATCAATCATTGATTATGCTGTTGTCTCCCATAATTTGACCGGCACCCTCAACATCAGACCGGAGTTTAAAGTCCATTACGGCCTCATCTTGACTGAACAACATGCAAGCCTTAGTTGCTCAAATACCCATGCTTTGTCAAGTGATTGTGCCCCTGCAACCAGGTCCTCGCATGCACACACTCGCGCTAGGGGTCTCGACGCAAGGCTGAGAAGTATCTTAGAAATACGTCCGAGAGTTCAGTTCAAGGTTTAGGCATGAAGCCAAAGCTCATGATGATGGATCGCATTGATGCTCGTCCTGTTGACTGTATTTACAAAGAGTCGGCTGTTTGGTTTTGGCTTACTTTGAATCGTCTTGTCACGGATTGGGGCCGTTTAGGAACTGTTTCTAGCTCACACAAAGCTCTTCTTGAAGACAAAATCGCGGAAATGACCAATCGGTTTGAAGAGTTTTGGGGGGTTAACGCATGGAGAAGAACACCCACCCGTTGAGGATAGCTACCCGGTTTTCAAGGATCCGCATTCCTTTAGCCGCAAGGGTCTGAAACGGGTTTTGTGTCAATTACCCGATTTGCATGACTTGATGATGAGTAATCTCTTACACACACTGCAGCTGCGTTGTAGGCACGCTATCAAGGTGTCCCATTTCGTCCGGCGTAAAGACATGCAACACAAGCTCCACAAACTTGGTGAAGCCCACAAGCACCTGAAGAGGAATGAAGCCGTGCCAGTTCGCCCGTTTACACACTTGGATGTTGAACGCCGACCCGATGCTCGCCGTGACTACTGGGTTGATGTGTGGAAAGAAATTTCTTATGACCGCTTCTTCAGTAAAAGGCTGATCCATCTTGCCAGAATCCAAGCTGATGGGTTGAAGCCCATCTCTTCCAAGCAAATCCAACACACGCTCAAGCATCTTAGGCACAAGAAAGGAGGTGGGGACGGTTGGACCCTTGAAACGCTGAAGGCGCTTCCTGACGAAGCGCTTAGCGGTCTTAGTTGGCTGTATAGGACTGTTGAGATTGGCCTGAAGGCGTGAAATTTGTCGTTGTTGCCTTACTGCCAAAGAACTCCGAAACTGAAAGACCAATTAAATTAGCCTCACTTCATACATTTATCGCCTCTACATGCGCATGCGAGCCTACTTGATTGAACACTGGGTTAGCGAAATCTCCATCCGGTCTCCCTGGGATGCCGCGATACCCGGAGGTAGTATTTTTGATCGTGTCCTAGGTCGTCTCCTTCGCGGAGAGCTAATGATTTATCAACACCAGTTTCAAATCACCCTGTTGCTTGATCTCAACAAATTCTTTGACTCGATAGACCGAGACATGTTCGTCGAATTAGCGCTTGATCTTGACTATCCTGCCTTGCCGTTATTGCTTGCCTTAATCATAATTATTGCTTGCCTTAATCATTCATGGTAGCCCCAGGGTCTTGGTCTCGGAACACCAGGCCTCCCGACCCATTCACCCAAGATACAGCATACTTCAGGGATGTCCCAGTTCGGTTGCTCTCGCTAAGGCCTATCTGTATGAAGTTGTTCGCACGATTTGTGAAAGGTACCCAGAATTTGATGTTTCCAGCTGGTTGGACGACCTTTCATTTGATAGATGCGGCCCCGACCCGAAAGTTTTGGTTCAAGATGTCGTTTCGCTGTATCTCAAAATTAGTCGCATGTTGCAGCGCCTGAACTTGACGATTAACACTAAGAAAAATCGGAATTCCTTTGTAGTCATGCGTCGCTTCGAAGACTGCTGCGGCACTATTTGCGCCAACATTTCCCTGGAACCGTTTTCCCTAAAATGTTGGATTGTATTCGCGACTTAGGAATCGATAACTGTGGAGGTCGTTTGCGTCGTTTACCCACTAGTAAGATGCGCCTCACCAAAAGCCTCAAACGCGCTGCCCGTATTAATCAAACTCCCCGAAAGCTTCGTCGGAACC